CACTAGTGCATCTTATATTCCGAAAAAATACGGTATTTTATCCAGCTCTTAAAAAAGTAAAAGAAAGAACTTTTATCAGTTAAAGAAAAAAAAAAGCACAGGTGATATATTAGTTTAAAATAACCTACATAAAATCGTTTCGAACCAGAAGTTAAAGAGTTTTGCAGTACCTCAACATATCATGACACAAACATTTTCTGTATAGTTCTGTATAATAAAGTTCTATCACACTTTAATATCTCTTTTGTGTTAACGTTTACAGAACATGCAGACTTTTGTAGTAAATACATGAATCAAGTTTTAAGCTTAAATATGTTTTTAACTTCAATGAAACATATATGCAGATCCCTATCAGCTTCGAAAACATAAATACTGGTATATAAGAAAAAGGGTTTGTTTGTTTACTTTTTGAATTTCGCGCAAAGCTACACGAGGAATATCTGCGCTAGCCGTCCCTAATTTAGCAGTGTAAGACTAGAGGGAAAGCAGGTAGTCATCACCACTATTTTACCAACGAAAAGTGGGATTGAACCTCACATTATAACGCCACTACGCTGAAAGGGGCGAGCATGTATTTTGGGACGGGGATTCGAACCCGCGACCCTCAGAATGCGAGTCGAGATCCCTAACCACCTGGCCATGCCGGGCCAAATTCAAGATGAAACTGTCTATAATTATCATTATATTTTACATAACTTAACGATTAAAAAACACAATGGTGAAAGATATGTAAGTATCAAATGCCTTTATCTATGTTCATGAATATTTTATGCGCAATCAACCATCCCAAGACATAGTATTGTAAACAAGTCAAACTTTTACAAATGTATACAAACCCGTTTTAAACGTTAAATTAATTTGTTTGTTTATTACCAGTTTTGTTGGCGAGGTCAACAACACATAAATTAAATCAATTAATTATCTCTGCGAGTTAAAAGTTAACTTTCCTGGCCTTCTGTCTGATAAAGTGATTAATCATAGGTCAAAGTTCACAGTGTAAGCGTTCCCAGATCTGTCAGTCTGTGTTAAGCAGTGGTGGAATGCAAAAAATGTTTAATCAGCTCCAACTTGCTAAATTATAGTTTCCCTTCTACTGGGACTATGTAGAAAATGCAAACGGGAAATAGCAGTTTATGAATGAGATTATGTTACTTAAAATAAAATACGAAAAATTAAATATTCGGTATTGATTGACTACACTTTTTTCTGCCTTTTCAAGAGCCCTCTTTGAAGCCGAGGATGACGTTATAACGTCGAAACATGTGGAGTCGTCAACTTTTTGAAGGCCATAGAATGGCCTAAATAAAATGTTTTTAATTGTGTACCAGTTTAACGTTGAATATTATTTATGATTTTAACTTTACACACAAGTGCCAAAATACTATAATTATGAACTAGTTTTATTCTACATTTCGGCGAAATTACCGATAACTGTATGGCTATAATGGAGGAAACCCTAGTAGAGTGGATACGCCAGGATTGAACCCCTGCCACTACCAGTACAAAAACAGTCTTTCTCAGGTTGGTTGTTTTGAATTTCGCGCAAAACTACACGAGGGCTATCTGCGCTAGCCGTCCCTAATTTAACAGGGTAAGACTAGAGGGAAGGCAGCTAGTCACCACCACCCACCGCCAACTCTTGGGCTACTCTTTTACCAACGAATAGTGCGATTGAACGTCACATAATAACGCCCTCACGGCTGAAAGGGCGAGCAGATTGCGAGTCGAGCTCCCTAACAGTCTGGCCATGGCGGGCAAAGAAAGAAGGAAACAGTGTACTTTATCCAAAGTTTCTCCTAGAGCTTTTATCAGCTAATTTGTCTGCACTTATGTCACGTTGGATTACGTTTCTCTTAGCAAAGTTTATTAGTTTTGTATTACTTCTTGTGACAGAAAATCATATTCAGCGAAGAACTAACAGGTTCACACAAGTGCTTGCTGCACCTGTCCGTAGCACGAGCTGTATTGTTAGGTGGGTATGTATGGGAAAATATATACTAATTTACCAAATGGTTTTACAAATAAATAGTTTAAAAGAAATAGAACAGCATTTGTGTTAAAAACATAACTGAAAAACTACGAAATCTGTAAAATTTTTACAAACAAAATGCCCACAGACATTATTAAACTTCGTCCGTTGTTCTGACATAAATCTTACAAAACTTGTTTACGTATAGTTACATTTCACGCTATACAATTTTGATGACCAGAATAAGTAAAGATGAATTGTCTTTTCTCAATAACAACATACACAAACCTTCCACCCTGCGACTATATTGTTCAGTAACTCACTATATACATACACTACTTCTTGTGACTAGCTCACAATATGTATATGTAGCACCTGGCAACTATAGACAACCATCTACATGAAGGTTATCTGCGACTATATTGTTCAGTAACTCACTATATACATACACTACTTCTTGTGACTAGCTCACAGTATGTATATGTAGCACCTGGCAACTATAGACAACCATCTACATGAAGGTTATCTGCGACTATATTGTTCAGTAACTCACTATATACATACACTACTTCTTGTGACTAGCTCACAATATGTATATGTAGCACCTGGCAACTATAGACAACCATCTACATGAAGGTTATCTGCGACTATATTGTT